ATGTAACTGTGATGCAGTGTAAAAGTTACCTGGTGAAATTTTATACTGATAACACTGAAAGTGGAACAACTCATACGAATCTTTTTCTATCTAGATTATTATCTGGATTTTCAGGAATAAAATTTAATTCTTTTTTTTATGAATTGAGGAAGAGGTTCTTTACAATGTAGTTTCAAAAGTGCTATTATAGAATTGATGTGCTTTGCAGAGACTTTCACGAACTTACTCGTAGAGAAAGAGCTGGGAAATGGCTAGGAAGCCACGTTCAGTCCATGTTTCAACTTCAGGAAGCGTCAGCACACTTTCAGTGAGGAAGATCAACAAGCGCATGTGTCTTAGCCTACTCTTTAAAGTTAAGTGGTAACAACCAGAAACAAATCAGCTTCATTTTTTTCAAAAGAAGAATGTATTGAACGATACAGAAACAATCTTCTTAACAAGAGTATTTCAGTTTTCTTATGTCTTTATAGATTAATGTTATTTCTACTTTCTTAATTTAATTCAATCTAACATTTTTCAAAACTACCTCCAGTTTATAGTGACCAATTCTTAAAATTTTTCTGACATGTACAGTTGCCTCCTTCATGTTCTCAAAATCTTGTTTGGGAAGAAATTGAAACTGGATTTTTTTTTTTTTAGTCTGATAAGAGGGTGAATAAATAAGGCGAAAGCTAGTGAATTTCTTACCACTTTGGAACAGGAATTGATAGCAATTCATGTGTATGCGTATTTAAGTGTGTGAGTGTGTGTTTGTGTGTGTGTGTGGGCGGGAGTTAAAAGATCTCTTTAATGGATCACAAACTTAGAGGACGAGAGGGTTTTTTAGTGATGTTTTTAAATAATCTCCTAAGACGTATGTATGTCAGCCTTTTTTGTGCCAGTTCTGGCTCTTTTAAACAACGAATTTGTTGTAAATTTGGAAATAGCTTATGAAAATAAGCCAATTGTGGTAACTTGCGTGAAGGACCATTATTTTCTGCCTAAAAAACCCCCCCCAGCTTTTAAATGTAAAATTCAAGTTCCTGTTGTACTTTTGATACTTAGAATACTGTTAATTATGCCTCGTATGTACTGACTGTAAATTCACAGCTTGTGTTCCTAGAATGGATATCTTTTTTGGTGCTAAAATGCAGGATTGCATGTTGCTGAAGGTATTGTGCTACATACTCATACCATACCTTAATGAATAAATTGAAACCGTGAGGGAGGCCTAGTCTGACATTAATCTACAAAAACACTATTGAGTTGTTTTAAAACCATGGCTTAACGAACTGATGGTGGGAATATTAGCTTTCAGTGGAAATGAATGTTGTTGCTTCTGAATTATCACTGCTATTAAAATACAGCTGTGATAGAATGCATGAAAAATGCAGGACTACCATGAACTTGTCAAGTAACATCCACCAAAAAAATGTTCCTACAAAAACTGAGAAATAGCACTTTGACTTTGAAAAAGAAAATTAGCTACTTTCTATTAAAAGTTTTACCAGTTTTAGTGTCCTTGCTAATTGTGAATATGGTCACCATGAATATGGGGAATTAACTGACTTGGTTAATATATGTTAATAATTATTCCAAGGAAATGCACTGATGTTTCAGTATTGTTTTTGGCAGTAATATGTTTTAAATGACGCAATAGTTAAATTACTTCCAAAAACAATCTAGTTAGATGTTTACTACTAAGCTAGACATGTTGAACATAGCGGGTAGATAAGTATCCTTTACGAGTACTTTTTCTGATTTGAAGTAGTATTTGTGGAGTAATAGGTATTTTTTTCAACTAAAATGAAATGAAAAACTTAAACAGGTATTCCAAGTAGTTTTATGCAGTTTTTGCATAAATTTACTGCGAATGAACGTATTAGATTAGACTAATTGCTAACAGATTGAAGTTAGAGTAGTGCTGCATCTTTGAAAGCAGTCCAGTTTAAATACAAATGCTTGAACTAGAGTGAAAGTGAAGGTGAAAATTTCAGTAGAATTTATAGAGAACGTAGCTCCCTGTATCTATTGACATTGGCTAGCTCTGCCATCTGTGTTACAGTTCGTATCCTGTCGTCCATGCTGGAGTACATAATAAGCTCCTAAATATTTACCATATTCTCTAAACTGTAAAATACTATTATAGTAGAATACGGTATTCGAAATGGTTTGGTTATACCGATGTAAAACTAGCACCAATGAGATCATGTTGGTTTCTGCTCCTCCGAGCTTTCCCACAGGTGATTAAGTAAATTTGCAGTTTCCTTCTCAGAAAGATAAAACAGCAGTTCTTATTGTTCATCTTTATATGGATGTTTTCTGAGCTTCACAGACATCATGTCTAGCAGGAGTTGTGAACAGTACAGGATGGCTGATATTACCTGAATCCTCTAAGGTTTCCCCACACAGAAGGGAGACTGAAGTAAATGCTGGCAGCTGAAACGTGGTAGTCAGTGTGCTGACCCTTTTCCCCACTGTTTTCTATCTGTTATTGTTATTACTCTACAGTAAGGAGCATGGAAGAATGATGCTGCATATTCCTTTTCTGTAGACGATCTTTTTCATCCATCCGTATGTTGAGGCTTGGAAGATAGTGTGACTCACATAAATGTATTGATTTTAGTCTTTAGCTACTAAAATTAAGGTGATGTTTTCCAAAATGAGATATGGACATGTGAAGAGGCAATAATTACTGTAATGCTTTAAAAAAAAAAAAGAAGTGAGCTAAGGCAAAGTTGCTAAGCTCAATAGTTAATTCAGTATGTCATAAACAGCTTCTCCTTTCACCAGTCAGGAGACTGGACCCTTCCAAGTTAATGTTTGCATTGGAGGAACTCTTTCACTGACAAAACAAAAATAGGGCTATAATTGTGCACTGCAGTCTATCAGTAAAAATAGAAAAGGAGCTAGTTTAAAGATTGTGATAAGTTTGTTCAAAACTTTTAAAAAAAAAAAAAAAAAAGTGCAGATGAAGACAGGGTGAATACTGATTTCCTGATGTCTGTCTGTCAGAATTGTTACGCTTTCAGTTTGACTTTGATTTCACTGTGACCACATTAACCAATTCTTAAGCGTTTTAGATTATTATATCTAAGACTATAGCGTTTGGCAGTTTAGTTTTAAGAAAAAAGAAAAGGATGTAACATCTAGAAGCCTAGTAGAGGTATAGTGTCCATCTCTAATGAAGGCTGTAACTGATGGACTTCAGAGGTCAGGTTCTACTTGGGAGTGATACAATTAAAACTGTAGAGAAGGCAGGCAGTTCTCAGGATTTCTGAAAAGTTATGCAACACATACATCAGCATTGTTTAATAAACTGAATAAAGACTAGTATTTTTGCCAAGAATTAGAATTTTGTGCCAGGTATTTTGGACCTTTACCAAGGAAGAGGACAGTTTGAGATGCTTATAAAACTTGAGTACAGAGAAAGTAGGGGTCCTTACAATCCTGTGTTTTTTAAAAAGAGAAGGCTAAAAATAGGCTAGTTTTACAGTCAGCAGGGCCAGTCTGTTTAACTGCCCACTATGTAATGGCCACTAATAACTGGCCATAGCATTTATTGCTGCTTAAAGCCACTGTTAAACCTGTTTGATTAAACATAATCATTAGGCTTTTTTTGTTTGTTTTGGGTTTTTTTGGTTTTAGGTTTTTTTTTGGGGGGGGAGGGGTGTCCATAAATGGTAGTGGCTTTAAAAGGTCAATATTCAATCAGTATATATTCTTGGCTTAAAAACTACATGCACACCTTTGGAAATGTATTTTAATAATGGCTCCATCTATGAAAACACTAGGAAAATGTTCCTCTCCATTGCAAAAATGCTGTGCTGCTCAATGATGTACCTAACTGGTAGCTCACCATATCAGAAGCATTATTATTGGTTCCAGTTCTTTTAGCTCTTCTATTACCTTTTCTCTTTGTCCTTCCTTTTCCCTGTTGATATTGGATTTTTTTTTTCCTTTCTCATGTCTTTGACACCTCTGTTTTATACTACAATCTCTTTTCCCATACAAACTCTCGTTCATGCCTTTTATGCTTCTGTTCTTACTCTACCTTGTTATGTTATTCATCGTGCTAGCTTAGCTAAGTAACTTGCACTAAAACTGACATCCTATTTATCTTAATTTTAAAAACTAGTCATAGTTTTTCTTTTCCTTGATTATATAAATCTCTCAAAAATATTCAATGTGGTGTATCAATCAAATTTTTGGTAAAGTTATTGCATGTAGATCAATCACAATAGTAGTTTTCCAGGAAAACTACTATTGAAAAAAAACTATCTAAATAGCTTTAATACCTGTTAGTATTGGCTTGTTTAAATTTAAAGCTTCTGTCTAGAATTGTTTGAGTGGGTAGGAGCTTTCCATTCTGTCAAGTATTATCAAATTTCTGTTATCTACAGAATTAGGGAAATGTTTAAATGGATATTCTTGATTGATGGGTAACTTCTTTGCAGTATTGGTAGGAGAAAATTGTTAAAAGAATAGTATGTAGATACAGACCTAAGCAAAGACTCATTTCTTTGTGTTTTTAGTGGTTTTAATAGCATTTCATCAGTTTACAGGTTTATTTAGCTATTTGCAGTGGTTCACAATGTACAAATATGCTGTAAGTAAATTGTTGTAGGGGCTTTATTGCTGGAATAGATGAGATGTCATCACATCATGATACAGCATAATATACAACATTGCTGAGTAAGGGTTATGGGGAAAACGTAAGTCAGTAGAACAATGGTATGTGCTGCTCTTAGAGCTAAGATTAAGGTTAGCCAATTTCAGCAGGGTATAGTGTCTTTAAATATGTGTGCACCCATTTGGATTTATATTTCTGATATTGTAAAGTGTGATTTTTTTTTTCTTTAGGTATTTCTGCATTCTGAATTTAAGTTTAAATATATATATATATGCATATATATATATGTGGCACATTAAGAACTTTTAAAAATGCTTCATTAAGAAATAATGAATAGAAATAGCTGTTTTTTCTAACGTTACCAGCTTCTTAGAGTTAAGCACAACGAGTGACAAATAAAATATATATTTTATTACATTCTGATATCAAAGTGCAGTTCTACTCTTAAAAATAACTCTCTATAAAGAAGCAAAAGATCAGTGCATTTACAGCTCTGTCTGCTAAGTTAACTAACATGAGATGTTTGTTTCCAGCTTCTCACACTTCTTAGCAGGGTAGTTGAGCTGGATGAGCACATACGTCCTAAATAGCATCAGCATTATAAATTTAATTCCTATTACAGAGTATTTTAGTGGGTAACTTTTAGCATTCGGATCCCAAGTTGAATCTGTGAAGGCAAACGTTATTTTTTAAGATAAACAGCTTTCTCTTAGAGACATTGCTAAACAAAAAATACGGAAATCTTTAATGACAATTTTTGAATCCATTTTTCAGAGTAGAATCACACTTTAACTGCCATATCATGTTTAAATAACTTAAACATAACATGGCTTTTTGCCATCCAAAAATGAAGGCACTGTCTTGCTGCTGCTTTCTATGAAATGATACAAAGTTCACGAGAAAACATTTGGATGGGGAGCCTTAATATGGGAAAAATAATAATTAACCCTTTGAGTGCCTTAAGACATATCTTTCTGTAATAAATGGGCACTCATTAGTATCTGCAGGCATACAGCATTTTTCCTCAATTGTTAATGGAATTTTGCCTTACATGACAATGCCCTGGAATTTCTGAACTATAGAACTCAAAGGGTTATTTTAGACTACTGTTTGGGGCTTTTTCGTTTTTTTTAAACAAGGAACAAAATGAGAAGTGAAGTCTTTGAAAAATTTCTTTACATGCTATTATTTTTTAACATAAGGGATTTACCAGCTTTCAAGTGCAAACTCATTGTTAATCTTCTGAGAAAACATAACTGGCCTAAGAATTCTACACAGAGAAAAAGAATATTTGGTTACCAGCACATGTGCAAAATAAATTTATTAATTATGGATTTAGGGGGAGAGATACATTTGTGTGTGTTTAACTTGATGAGTGTGTCCTTGTAAACAATTTTAATAAGGCAGTGATGAAACTAGCAAAACGTAGTAAACCGCAATAATAAAGATACAACAGGGTCGGTGTGTTTAGTTAGCTCATTACACATGTTAAAGATGCACTGTGCAGAGAAACATATAGTGAAGACTTTCTGCAAGCTAATTAATTTATTTCAGATTTGCATCCCAAATGAATGCATTTTTCAAATTTGGATGATTTTCTTAAGATTTCAGTTATCTGAGCTGAACATAAATTTGATGCTTTGTTTCCTTGAGGGAAGAAAGTAGTTTGGGTGGTGCATGCACTGCCCAAAACAACGGCGAGGACAGGCACCCTATTCACAAGTAGTGAATAAAACTTAATTGACTATAAAGTTTTTATTCTTAAGCTGTGCACCTTTAACAAGGTAATGGTCCCTTTTACAGGAGAAGGGAATATATTTTCCTATTTGCATATGAACGTTCTTAAGACACCAGGAGTCTTGGCATTGCCTGGTCTGGCTCTGGATGTACATTAAACTGAAACTATTGCGTTTTTTTTTTTTTTTTAGATGTTTAACTGCAAGTGAAAATTGCTAGTAAACTGCATTCTGACTGTAGAATTTAACTACTTAATAAACTCTATGCATATTAGACCCATTTTGCTTGGTTTTAAGTTTCATAATAATGTTGGCTTAATCTTAACCTAGTACATAGCTGTGCAGTTTAGTGACAGCAAGCCATCTGGCTCCTCCGAAAGGATATTCCTGAATTACACTGTATAGACTGATACTTTATGGTGTAGAGATGAAACAGCAATTATCTACCCCCGTGAAGCTATAAGAATCTTTATTCACTTTTTCCCCTTAGTGTTTGGACTTATTTTTCAAACTGAAATATGAGAGAGGTAAAGGAATAAAGACAGACGTCCCATACCATTTGTCTCCAGAACTGTCAGGGGTGGTCATCTTGAAAGGACCTGCTACTGCCTAGATCTTCCAGAGATGCTTAACAGATATAGAAAACTTACCCATGAAGTTGGTTAGGACTAGGAAATCCCCCACAGAAGATCCTAAGATACTTCTGATGGTAGGATAAAAACCAAGCTAGTTTTAAAACAACGATTAACCCATTGCAAACCATGTCAGAAGGGACTGGATACTACTACTAGTAGTAGATCTATATAACTCTCTGGTCCTAAGATCACTAAACCCAGCCTAGAGTCTCTGTTTAAAGCAGAAATTGATTCGGCTGCAATACTTACCCTACGAAGTAAGTTTTGAAAAACTTAAGTTCCAAAAAGCCCTCCATTACATGATAATTTAACAATGTTTAAGCGACAAATACCACAGTACAAAAATTACATAACACAAAGTCTCATAGATGAAAGATTAACTACATATAACAGTTTAATAATGCAGTTATCAGATGCACCACTTAGCTTCACTTTTCTCTTGTATGGTCAGTGTTTAAACAGTATTTCCCATAATACCATTCTCTTCTAGTAAAATGAATGACTGAAGCACTTCAGAAGCCACTCACTGACTAATTCCGTATTTGCAATAGCTTATTTCCATAATTTAAATACAGCACAATGGCTGGTGGCAAGTTTGTAGAATTGCCATTTGAGTAAAAATAAGCATTTTCATTACTATTTAAAATATAAATATGCCACTGAAAACATCAGAAGTTTAACTGTAGACACTGCTTTTAATAGAAGGAAAAGATTCTAAACTAGTACAAGAATTGTAGAAGTAGAATAAAAATAACACCAGGCTTTACATATAGTAACATTACTACAAACTTGTTTTGCTGTGTACTTTCTTCATGATGACCTTCTGACATTCAGAAGAAATAAATTCAAGGAACTATTAAACTGAACTTTGACCGTTTATTGTAACTAACTGTGTTGTTCCAACTGTGTTGGAACAAAATTAGAAAGCAGATTAATTTGCAGCATAAAACACAGGATTCTTCAAAATCTTTTAGCATTGTGCAGAAAATCTTGTAGAGAATCTTCTTTCTTGTAGGAAAGAGCAATGCAGGTCTCATTATCACCCATTTCACGTGCACTGGTATGGTATTTTTCCAACACAAATCTATACTTCTCCAAACCATAGTATCGGGATGTAATAGCAATAAAAGACATCAGCTATGCAACATCATCGCTTAGAGCCCCAAGAGGTAGATGATGGTTTTTATAGCAATTTTGGTTGTGGTAAAGCTGAGGCAAGGAGACCAAATAAAGCCCATGAAGTCTGTGTCAGAAAATGATCTGCGGTTCAAAAAGCCATGTCTTGAAGTCCCCTTAAGTCCAGCTGATAGTATATACCTTTGCAGTATACCTTTGCGATCTTTTAACTTGCCTGAAATTCCAGCTGTGCAAAAGGCTAAAAACAAACAAGACTAAGCTAGGCTAGATGGCTGCTCAGGATCTTCTTCTCACGTGACATTGATGAACTAGTGGAAGCAGCTTGCCTTCCTCATGAAGCCTTTTAGTATCTGTAGCACCTCCAACAAAAGTCCCGTTGACAAACACCCTCGGGACCTATCAAGCATGTGAAAAATCACATCAGTTACTTTTAGGAACTAAGACAGAAATCTTAAGTGAACTCATATATGGACTGTAGTACTCAAATTCCAACCTTCTAAGTATCTGATATTTATATTCATAATATGCATATAAATGTTGTAATATTACCATATGATTCATATACATTTACATAATGTGTATATAAAAGGGAAACTTAACATTTCGCACATCGCTCAAAATTAGGATAAAGTCATTATGGGAGATTGCAGTAAAAAAAAAAAAAAGTCAAGTGAGACTGTGTAAAATTAAAGGAATTGCAACATAACTAACAAGAAAATGGAGTAAATAACTATACAAACGAAAACTGACTTTTATACTTCAACCAAACCTACAGCCTCAGTGGCAGTACAACAAAAAAAAAAAATCACCTCTGAGGATCTGTCAGACAGAGAAAGAGACATTAGAGAATCCTTCTACAGTACCTTATATTTAATTTAGGAGCTCATACACAAAGTTTATCTTGCCTCAAAAGAAGTGCAGAATTTGTGGTCATAGTCCATGAAAAACATACCTGCAACATGATGTCTCTCTTTGCTTATAACATCTAAGAAGGTATACTTACTGTTCTGCCACCAGTCATCTGTTCAAGAATGTCTTGGAACTGACTTCCATTTTTATTCACATCGAGTTCTATCGCTGTGTAATTTACATTCATGCCCTCAAAAAGTTTTTTTGTCATTTTGCAGTAGAAGCACGTTGTTTTAGAGAAAATCACCACACAATTGTCTGAAACAATCTCCTGTATATTCAAAAGAACGTTCAAGTCAGCGTGGTTTGTAATCAGGTCCACGTATTTTAACAGTATCTAACAGTCACAAAAACAAATACGTAAGCTATCAATATGCTATTATGGTACCAAATGCAGAAAAATTACTCCCTTAAAAGGTTTTCTGGGCATTTTTAACATGGACAACTGAGGAGTTCCCAGCCATGCCATGGGGATGACTGGCTACTTCTTAAGAATTTTCCTAACCGCTATACTTCATTCTCATTTTTTAAGGTAAACTGAAAAGCTTGTTGAGCTTGTAAGTTCTCCCTACTTCTAATCCAGAGCCGCAAGAATTTTAAATGCGAGGTATAAGCCACTTTTATTTAAAAAGCGTGTGCAAGTTAGTCAAAAAAGGAGCAGAAAAGTGACTTCCGCCAAGGTATCTCTCAGGAAGATACCATCACCCCTATGGTGAGCACAAAACATATTCACCACGCTTGTCCTGAAGACATCTGCGATGGCCTAGCACCTCCTGTAGGGATGCATCATATACGTTCACATCAAAATAAAAATCACTTCCCACCTGTCTGCCAAGAAAGTCAGACTCTCGACCTCAGCAGTGGAGCTGCACTTGGCCCGAGGCCCAAGAGTAGCTGCTCCAATGGAATGCAAGTGCAGTGAGGCACAACATCAAACATTTGCAGAACTACATAGAAAATAAAGTGACCAACTCCTCCTGCTCCTTAAGGCCTCAGTAAAAAGCACAATCTGTTCTTCAAGGCTAGCTCAATGATCAGAACTGTCTCAACTGCAAGCAGAATACCTGGAGTCAGTTAAAACTTAGCAGTATCCAAGTTTCAGGAATCCTGTAGTTTTTCCTCTTACAGGAGCAAAGAAACAGAGGAGAGTTAGCATTAACAATCTCTGACTAACAATCAACTGACTTCAGAGTGAGCAGAAGTATTGTGGGGACTGTGCCCTACCCTAAACCTACTCTTGCTCTCTGATCACAGACTTCTTACAGACTGTAGAGGGTGTATCTCCTTGAAGTATTAGTACAGCTTTTCCTATCTGTAAGGCAAACGGAACGTGCTAGTGATAAGCAGACTGGCAAAAAAAGGTATGAGTAGGAGGAAAGAGAGACTCCTATTTACTGCATGTTTATCCAAGATTTATCCATTTTGCGCTCTCAGTATCAGTTCATACTTGAAATCAGTAATTTTACAAGGTTGAATCCCTGATACTGATGACAGTACTGAATTTAACTAGAACACTGGAAAAACATAAAAAAGATCCAACCTAGGAAGATCAGATTCCAGGGCTGGGGATAAAAAAAAAATGCAGCTAGTATTTACTAATAAACATACAGATCCAATTCAATATGCAGAACTATTTACAGCATATCTTTGTATAATATAAGAAAAAACCTGAAAGTAACTATCACTTTTGCAAACATTGAAAAGGAAGAGAAGTCTCGTAAATAACGTTACCTGTATTTGATTCACAGCAGCATCATTAGATAACCTTACAGAAGCAGGCAGCCTATTTCCCATTCTAAGACTAAAAAGAAAGAAAAAAGTCAGATACTTAAGCTTTCAAATAAACGACATATTACTACACTTCACAAACTCTTTTAAGGATTGGTTTCACTCAACCCATACAAGGGTTGGTTCCGTTTAAAATACCTAACAGGATCTCTCCCTTGCACATAAATTCTTTCAGCTGCAATGCCGGCAGTCTCCTTTGCTGGCACACGCCTGCAGTACGGTCCAAATAAAGAGCCCGATTTTGCAGAGTTTAACCCAAACGGCTGTCTTTACAAGAGGCTGATTTTCTATATATATGTATATACATATACATACACATATACACATGTAATTTTTCTCCCTAATGACAACGTGTAAATACAAGCACCAACATAAGGCTCTGGGCACCCCCCTACAGGGGCTGCCCCTAGGGCCGTACGCCCCGAGGCCACCGCGATGTCCCCTCCCCGGTCCCAG